AAACAGGTGAAATAATGCTGTGTGGTCCTATTTACATGTCTGCTCTTTAAATTATAGTCAAGGAAACTCCATGATTACAATACAGAGAGCATAAAGTAAACAAAAATCTGTTGCTGTTGTTCCTTGACACTAGAGCCAAAAATGACAGTAACGATCAGCGCTCTTCATGCTCATGCGACCAACACTAGCAGTTTGATTAAGCGTCTCTTCAGCTCTTGGCCTACATCCGCCATCGTTTCTCAGTTTGATGTATTTTCCATTCTCTGTGTTTAAAATAAAGGAAGACAACGAGACAGATTTCCTTTGGGAACTTGAATCATCTTTCAGAGATTCTGTAGGTGGCTATCTTCCTCTGTGACTGGGAATCTTCGACAGCCGTTATTGTCCCACATCAATACCAATTCCATCTTGTTGAGATAAAGCTAGCATTCATGGTGTCTGTCGATTCTTCGCTTATCTTTTTTGATTGATTTCAGGGCAACAGCCCCTGTAACTCATCTTTGTAAACTCCAGGTGTCAGTGGGTTTAAGACCCCTTTATATTCTAGAAATAGAAATACACGACACTGACAAATCAGGCCCAAATTTGATGAACTCATTAGGATTTTTGTATATAAAGTAGGCCGCTTCATATTATTGTGTGTATAGTATAGGTGAAAGATTTAGAGAACCTGAGGAGGTCTCTGTACAAAAGGGACAAGAACGAAAACCAACATTGGATGGCCTTAAATGGCTCAAAATTACCTCCTAAAAACCCCTGAATATGAATACAATTCAGCACAAATGCAGGTCAAATCTGAACCATGCAAAGAAGAAACTGTAAACATGACACAGAAAGACCAGTGAGTCCACTTAAGCTGGACTAAGATGAGTGAGAAAACCTGTGGTCTCATGATTTTAAGTTTGATATTCTTTTTGGAAATTATGGACTAAAGAGACCACCTGGCATGTTACCAGCTCATTTTAAAATTTGATACGTTGTCTTTGCAGTACTTGCAATTAGACATCGTGTAAACAATCAATTATAGTTTTTAATAAAACAGCTTAAACAGCGTCCAGACTCTCCAGGAGTTTGGTTTGTAAAAAGATCACCCTGGTTTGAGTTATACTTCAAGATGTAGCCTCGTTCTACTGTTGTTCTGACATTTCAGTGTTGACATTAAACAACGACCTTAAGTCAAATTAAGCCAATGGAAATAATGCTTTACCCAAAGTGTCCTCATGATGCTGGCTGCAAAACCCAAGAAATGCCCCCCAAACTCATGTGAAATTGTCTTTTTTTACAGTTGAATTAAACATGTTTACAGCCTGTAAACATTTGGATTAAATTCATAATAAAACGAATAAACAGTGATCCAGATGCAGTGGACCACCAACTTCAGTGTTCTGGGAGGTGAAATGACTCCTTTTGTCAATGAAGTCTGGTGGCTTTGAAGAGAGTGACTGAGCAGCTGTTTCATGTTAAAAATCAAAAGATGCTATCGTTTGCATAGATTACACTGTTTCTTTTCAGCAGCTGGCTTACTGAAGTTATCCCAAACTTTCGGACAGATGACTCATGAGTCAGATCTCGAAATATGTTAAAAAGGGTGAAGGTTGAAAAATACAGGAATTCCCCTTAAACTGTCTGTAGAAACAACAGCTTTTAGAGAGAATTTCACTTTTGAAAACTGCCGATAAAAGAGGCATTAGAGCTGCTTCAGTGGTTGTACTGCAGATGGTAAATGTGAGTTAACAATGAAAACACTGAGACAGAAAGAAATACTGCAGCTTTTATTCTCTCTGAGGCATGAGGAGGAGCTGCCCTGTCCTTTTTCAGAGCCAACAGACTCATTTAATGTGTTTATCGCTCAGACTGTCCTGTTCCAGTCTACGGGCAAGTTCGCGAGCGAGGTGTAAGTTCTCAGGCTGAGTCTGATCTTGGGTCTCCATCTGGATTAAAGTGAGCCCAGAGTCCAGCCTCTGGTCTGATTACACAGAAACCAGGTGGTGCTGTCCGGCAGCAGTGATGTACACGTACAAAACTAAGTGATGAGCTTTGGTGCACTAAAGAGTAGTTTGTCATTGTTGCATTTAGCAGTTTGAACATTTGATTTGGGCCTAAAGGGTCTTACAAATTAAACAGATGGTTTTAAATGTGCTAGCATTTCACAAAGAACTTTGATTATTGTGCTTTTATTTCAGCATATTCACAATCTATTGGATACAAAAGCGCTATAAAAGAGTTATAATTTATCTGCACTTGTTTCGTTGATGGATGAGTCTTTTTTGTTTAAGCTTTGTTCAATTTGTTGTTTTGCTTTTTTTGTTTTTATATTTTTCTAGATGCGCAGGGCACAAACTAGGAGCTAGGTGGGGCACAGGGTGCAAAAAGGCTGATTAGTGCTGTGTTCGAGTTGTACTCGGAGGTTGGGATTTCCCAACTCTGAGACAGAAATTCATCTGGAACGCCCCCCTGAAGTCGGATTTCCGACTCTGAAAGTTGGACAATCCTCACCAACCCCAACTTGACGACAACGTCATTATTCAAGATCATCAACAGTAAAGAGTAACAGTAAAAGCTCTCATAGTGTATTATTTATTAGCACTTCTGTTTTGTTTTTGTAAAATTAAATAAGCTGTATATGTTGTACTGCCCAACATCTAACTGTGAACACGGTTTTGTTTCGTTTATTTAGATCTCCACTGGCTTTGGATAAGGCCATTGCTACTCTTCCTGGAGTCTACATTTACAGTTAGCACTTTTGCAGTGCACAGTCACAAAAAACATCACACCACAAACACAAAGACAACTTTGATAACCACAACAACTCACAACAGCCTACAAGACAAAAACAAAACAACACAAGTAGAACAATACAAACAACATACACATATAACTGGACCTTATACATTTTCACAGTGTAGCTGTAGTTCTGAAATAATCAGATGTTTAAATATCAACCCACATTCCACATAATTGAATTGAATTAATTAATTTACCGAAACAGTACCCAATACATAATACATAAGCAGACATCCAGTATTATAAGTAGATCAGTAGATCTACACAGATCAGTAAATTTTCTTTAACTAGATCCTTGAATTTATATTTGTTGTTTTCTCTGTGCTATGGTGTTTGTAAGAGTAAAATACTGTGTTGTGCGTTGTTTACAACTGGTATAGCTAACAACAACTAACAACAGCTGACAACCGCTAACAGCAACTGATAATGGCTAACGATAGCTGACAATTGTAAACAACAGCTAACAACGAGTAACTGTAGGCGCCCATCTTGGTTTTCCGACTTGTTTACTGGAATGCTGTCAACTCGCATGTAGCGTTATTCAGCTCCAGGGGACAAGGGTGGCAGTAGCTCAGGAGGTAGAGCGGTCGACCAATAACTGGAGGGTTGGCGGTTCGATTCCCTCCTATCCCGAGTCTGTCTGTTGTGTCCTTGGGCAAGACACTTAACCCACCTTGCTCCCAGTGTGTGTCCTCCACTGGTGTATGATTGTGAGTGTTGTGTGGTGGTGGTCGGAGGGGCTGTAGGTGCGAACTGGCAGCCCGGAGCAGCTGTGACCATGAAGGTAGTTTGCCACCACCAGAGCATGAGTGTATAAGCGAATGAATGATGTATCTAATGTAAAGCACTTTGAGGTCACTGACAAAAAGCGCTATAAAATCTGATGCATCATTATTATTATTCCCAGCTCCGACATCTGACTTGAACTGGAACGCAGAATAAGCCCCTTGATTTTTTTTAAAGGTGTAATTTTGGCATAAAATAAATCCAATCAGAGTGTCTGCTCCCATTCCCTTTAAGAGCCTGATGCAGACTTGCCTTAAACATATTTGACCCATGCTTGAAATCATAGTATCATATCAGCAGAAACTCCAGAGTGCAGTTTAGTTCACACACCTCATGAACCAGACAATTAGACTCCGTTTCATCCAATCATTACCAGATCTGAGTTAGGTTTCAGTTTCCCTTCTCTGCTCGTCCATATGTCTATCCCTCACCCTTCATCGACCATGCATGCCCACGCTCCATTTTTCTCCATCTGCTTCTCTCACACACACACTTCTCTCTCTCTCTCTCTTGGGTAAGGTTAGTAAAATGATGTTTGGGTATCATTATCACCGATTAATCTCCTCCGTCCTGTTCACCAGACCTGAAACGGCATCAAACCCTGGGTTGGGGGGAGGGTCAGCTTCAGAGGGACGACACGCTCGGATGAAGTTTGATGCTGTTTTGGTGAAATCTCAGAATCAGATTTGGAAATGTTGTTGGACTTTAATGCAACTGCATGATTCAGCATTGTCACCTTCGCTTTTAAGCTTGATTTGACTGACATGCATGCTAATGCTAGGAGCATTTTTTTCTTTTTTGTGTCTTTCTGTCTATTTATTTGCTTGTTTTTTTCTTTTTTACACGCCTTAAAATAAACTATTTCAACCTCATTTTAAAGATTCCTCTCTCTTATCAGAATTCCTCGCTGCAGTCAGGTTGGTACTTGCATTCCCTCAACCTTTGCTCCTGATGTCTCCCCCCCTCGCTGACAGAAACAGCGCCTCCCTCCCTCTCTCCCTCTCCGGCTGCATTCCTGTCTGAAGAGGCTGTGAAAACTGTCACATTCATGGCCCCGTTCTTCCAGATAACAGAACTTTAATAGTGTATCACCGCCGCCGCTGACACCCTGAATGAAAGAACTTGACACGCTAACATGAATGTGAACACAATAGCTTTGACCAGCGAGCCGCAGCTCCAACACGGGGATCATACAGTGGCCTCTGGATAAGAAATAATGCCTGTTTTTTAACTATTCATCAGCGCGCTGTCACTGCAGACCATGAGAACGCCTTGAACAGAATTAAACCTGACAATATGTGCTTGTTTGGTTGGAGTTCAAATGCAACAGCAGGCGTGGACCTTGAAGTGTGCAGACAACTGCTCATTGATTCCCCTCCCCGATGGCACTGTCGCTGCTTGAATACATCAACTAAATGTCTTATGGGGCAAAAAGTCCCTTTTCATCACAGGACCAACTGCATCAATCTGCTGCTGATGCCAGCCAGCCTGCTGGATAAACCCCAACGCCAGAAAGTTTTGAAGTAGGTCTCAGGGGTTGTTGCGGTGAAAACACTCCACCAGCTCATGCTCGTGGATTCTGCTGAGTAAAATCGCAGAAGGGGATTGTGGGAGGGCAGGGGGGCTGGGACAGGAGGCCGATTGTCTGTCACATCAATCAGGAGGATGTTCATCCAGCAATCAGTCAGGGAGCCGGTGGTGGCACGGCATCAATAAGGCGGGCTGACAGCCGGCTTTGAGAGACGGTATCCGCCCTCTTCCTGCTGGAGCGTGCCCCCAACTCACAGATATTCAACAGATAGAAAAGACTCACTGGGACACTCAAGTCAATAACAGATCAGGATTTGAACGCTGCTGCTTCTTATTCAGCCTGTAAAAAAACTCATCTGGCTGCAGGCCTGAATCACTGGCAGGAAACCCATTCAGCTTTTTTGGGAGCTTCTCTTGGAGTCCCACCAAGTTTGTTTTTCACGTCATTGCTGCACACCTACAACGGGTTTGCTCAGTCATCACCTGCATCCCACAACAGCGCAAACATAGATGACACTTACACCATAAACTATTTTTAAAGCGAGCTTTATGATGCATCAGCTGAGAATGTGTACCCAGTGAGGTGGGAGCATTACATAAGTATAACACCGAGGTGTTAAAAGATGAATATTTAAAGCTGCAATAATCGATAGCTGGGGTTTTAACTGATCACGAAACGGCCTTAGAATAAAACTGATGACTCTCCATGACCTTGAAACTAAATAAAACCATCAACAGGTGTAAAAAGTTTTTCTTTAAACAGTTTATAATGCATTTTTCTCCGATTATCAGATTGGACTAGATAGAAGGATTCACATTTTGGTCAGCCTACTGTCCTAAAGTTAAAAAGCTCTGAGGTACCTGATTTAGGGGTCATATTTTGAGCTAACAGACGACAGAAAACACACTGGACTCAGGATGCAAGACGGTGAGCGAAACCCCAGGACAGCTTTTCTAGATGTAAGAGCTCACCTTCAATGTGCCATTACCTTTGGATTGTTGGTGAACTCGCTGCCAGAGCAGAAGGAGAGTTAAAAACTTTATTTGATCGGAGTTTGAAAAGATCTCTTTGAACTAAAACAGCAGAAATAACTTTGAACTTGATCCGACTTTGAAGTGTCATATGGTTATACTCAGTTTGTTTATAATTTTCACAGTTGTGAACCAGTTATATTTGTGTTAATTCATTGTCCTCCTATAAAAAAATCAAATTCACCATCAAGGGGAAACTTAACTCTAACCCTAAACTCAGAATAGGTACCAAGCTTGAACCTAAACCTAAAATAGATACTCAAAGACTGAATTTATCCAAATTTGCCCCATTTAGTCTTTGAGTATCTAAAAAAGTCAAAAAAAGAAAATGGAAAAGTGAATAACTTACCTTTAGAAATTGCTTTTATTTCGCCTGTCGCAGCATTACTATTGGTTGAAAACTTTTATACATATTTCTGATTTCTTACCTAACTTCAGTTAATTTAAAGTATCAATTATCAATATCTAAATGTTATATTTAGAAAATTTAGACTGCTAACCCTATCAGTTAAGGCCTAGAACTGGTCCATCTTAAATCGAAGATATTTGACACAAACAATATCTGTCTCCACATGACAACATCATAAGTTAAATTTAGTAAAGCATTGTCTTTTAAAACGAACCATGGTTGCTCAAAATCACCAAGCAAAAGCCCATGAATTTGATTTAAGTGTAAGTGATTTAAAAAAAAGGGGAAAAAAAGGACAGACATAAACCAGAAAAGCTTCTTTAAGAGCGCTCTTGTCCATTTTATGCCAAAGGCAGGAGACTTTCCTCTGTATTTTTACAAACTATAAAAGTTTATCTCCAGATGTTGAAGTGCTTCAGATTTGATCTTTGTCACTGTGCAGAGGGTGAACAAATTCCAGGCTGTCAGTTTCAGTCAAACAGGAGGTAAACATCAATTATGTTTTAGATTGGGGAGCAGTGCTGTAAACTCTGTTTCGATAAGGTAAAACATGAATAAACGGGGAGGACCCCCTCTGGCGTTTTGACACGGCGACAAAGACGCGGCAGACAACAGAAGCTTTCCATCACAGCTCGAGCTCTTCAGAGTGCAGACAGGCTGCTGACACATGCAGAGGGATCACTTTATCCTGCAACACTCAACAACACATCAAATTATAAGGCTGGAGATTTACACCGCTTTTGATTTCTCTGTAGCAATAAGCAAAAATAGACGAACAAAAAGTATGTTTTTATTCCAATTTAATTGTGCGTTAAAAAAAACACTTTTTTTTGCAAAAACAACTTTTATTTCCTCTTTTTTTAAAAAAGATTTTTCCTCTTTCTTGACAGGTGAAGTGTTGAAAATAATTTTAAAAAGATACATATCGTCAGACTTTATTTCACCGTTAAGCAAAGAGAAGCTGCAGCACACTAGGTTCAGGTTAAATTGTTTGCACATTATCCACAACCACATTATCTAGGTTTGTTAATTCAAGTAGCAAAGGTTCGATTTAGTGTGATTTTAGTCAGACTAAGACAATAAATAAACTTTTTTGAAATACATGTAAATGTACTGACTGATAAAAGGCATTTATGTGGTTTCTTAAGGCTACCTGATAAAAAAAATCTCAATATCTGAAATACCTCAAAGACAAAGTTTGAGTTTTGAAGAGTTTTGAGTTCAAGAAGAAGTTTCAGAAAGAGGGACTCTGCTTGGCTGATGTTGACTTTTAAAATCCCAATCCAGTGTTTATCACTCTTTAATAGGTTCAGTGAACGTTTGAAAGTAGATCTTAAATGGCCCTCTTGGAAATTTACATGTGTACCATTTTGTTTTGAAACTTTATACAAACAGAGTTCTGCTCCCTGTTGCATTATGGCCTCATTTCATGGCATATATGAGATTAAACCCTTCATATGTAACCTGAATTTACCATTTGAAGACACTCCTGTGCAAAGAGTCCCCTTGAAGTGACAGCGTTTCAAAGTAGAAACCTTGCCGTGACACACTGAAGGTCTTCCCCCATCTCTGCGCTCCAGCTCCATCTTCAGAGGGCTCCCTCTGCAGTGAGGTGCCAACTCTGTGCCTGGTATTCAAATCAAGTCACGAATCTCAGTGGGAGTCCCTCCGAGGACAAAAGCAAGGAGGCCTGGACCATGAAAAGAGATTAGCATTTCACAGATCTGAATTCTGAGCAGCGCCGCCGCTGCTACTGTTTCCATCTAAACGGATGAAGTGTTTGTTTACTTGGTTGTTTCAATACTGATTAAAATAATAATGACCTGTGAGGATGAGAGGAGGCATTACAGTGGCTTTGCTGTGAGTTAAGAGCTTGTTAAGATGAATAACCATTGGCAGTTTTGTTCCGACAAAGCTGCATGTTTCTGGAAATTGCCCACATGGTGACAGTTGCTTGTCTTCAAGCTTTTCTTAAACCCCAGCGGCAACAGCACTACATGTAGATTAACACTGATTACTTGTTCTGTTGTCAAAATTAATCTGAGCCAGTGGGAATGTTGAATTATTAGCATGTAAGAGGCATACTCTGTTTGTTCTTTTTTTTTTTTTTGGGTGGGGTGGGGTATTGTTAAGCTTGAGGGCCAACAAACATTTGTAAGGTTTGACAATGTCTTTATACCAAACACAAAGTTACAAATAATGAGATAGACACATAATTATGATCCTTAAATATGCTTTAAAAAAAACAAAAAAGTGTGTCTGCAACATGTTTTTAAAAATGTAAAGGTCAGTTTAGCAGCAGGACTCTTCTACTACGGCGCTGCGCTGTTGTAATACAGGTAGTTTGTGGTTTGGCATCATCTTGCTGAAATGTAACAACATAATTTTACAAGTATAAGTCTATACGATGTTTCATCAATAACCCAGAAAAAAGGCTAAATGTATGATAATTTGACAGTTTCGTGGACGTGTGGTGCGATAGGACTGTCTCAGTCTGCCAGACACTTGATTTTTCAGTTTTTTATTTGCGAACCCTGAAGGCATCTTTTACTATGTGACGTTCCCATCCAGTTGTAGTTTGAGAAACGTTTGTCTCCAAACAACAAGCATGATTGGCTGTCAATCATGCTCAGTTGGGAAGTAAGTTGAGAAAAACGAGCACCACTGAAGAGGACGGTGATTAACAGGAGCCGAATACTCGTGTGAGGACAAGTTGATTAGTTCCCACCTGTCATTTGTTTAAAGGGAACGCATTAGTGTAATCGTGAGTGCCTATAGGACACTAAACAGAGTGATTACATGTGACTATCACGCAACTGTCAGATTGTTATTTTGATTATGAAGGGTGTATGATATTTTTCCCCAAAATATAATAATTTTGAGTCCCTGGTAGGATAATTCTTTATTTCCCATCTGGCAACACTGGCTGGGTGACATGTTGAAATGTCATCCATGGTTTCCAAAACAAATATCAAGTTTTGATGTCTGAGACAATGGGCAAGTTTTCCACTTTCCCTCAGCCCATCTTAAATGGGCTCAGAAAAGCTGCCACTATTTCTAGATCATATCCAAATCATGGATGGATGGTTCCTATCTGCATTGTACAGTTTTAACCTGCATTTGTGAATTCAGTGATAAACTGTTCGCCGAGAATAGTTTTTGGAGGTGATTTGAGTCTGTGCAGAGACTACCAATCCAGAGATCCAGAGTCATGTTGGTTTTTAATGCAGTGCTGCCTGAGGTCCTGAAGATTAAGGATTACCCAGTAGCCTATTGGTATTACAGCAAACAAACATGATCTAATCTGTTGGTCTGTTTGAAGTAGATAAACCATCTGATGACCTGTAACAAAAAATCATATTTTTTACATAGTCTGTCAAACCAGAGCTACATAAAAAACATGTTGAAAATCCAACAGAAAACTCAGAGACAATCCAGATGGCCGATATCTGGAGGAGGTAGATCATCCTCATTGTGGCAAAGCACTTCCTGACATGAGTGATGTGATTGTAGAGACTTGCAGTTCACATTTTCATCTGATCATTTGTGCTAAAAAAAACCCCTTAGAAATCTTTATAATGTGAAGAAGAGTGATGGCGATGGGACCAGGAAACACCTCAGCGGGGGACTGACACACGGCTGACAAGGCGCAGGTGCCTCAGCCAAACACACCACACTGTCCCATCCATCGCGAGCAGTGGTCAGCCGTCCCGAAGGCCACTTCATCACGGCCTGTCAGAGGGACGGAGCAGCTCCCTGTGTGAGAGCAGCGGCCTGCGACGAGAACGAGACCTCCATCAGTCTCTTTTTCTGCCATGAGAGACTGCAGACGGCAAGGCACTGCAGCACAGGTTTACAGAGATAAAGAGAGAGAAGCATGAAGATAAATGATATTTGGAAGAAACTGGATTGAATTTATGTTCTGAAAATGCAGTTCTGTGCAATACTGGCTTTATTACCCAAAATAATGATATCTTTTGGTGCACACTTGCTCTATTTGCCAAGGCACAGAATATTTGTCTCTAAAATGCCTACTCTAGCCCCATTCAGCAGAGATAAATGGAAATGAGTGCTATTAAATGTGCTTAAACCAAAAACTCCCATCGTAAGAAAAAAACAAAAACAGCCCCAAAAACACCTCCAGTATATAGGGCCTTCTTTGACCCTGAAGAGAATTTGTAACTTGTACATTATAGCCAATATTCATACCTCAATTTGTACCTGTCACCAAGGAAGATCACATGACCAATCCTCATCAGCTTCACTTCTGATCTACAAAACTGAAGTGAAGTCCATTCATGGTTTAAATTCAGCAGAAATGGTACCTTGCAAGACAGTTGAAGACAAGTTGATTACCAGAGATGATTCAAATCATTGAGATATAAAATGAATCAGGATTGAACACCATTTTGTCTCCTACGTCTGTCCCCGAATAGAAGCAAGGTGCAACTTCGAGATAATGCCACAGAAGTGCCAGAAAAGTGCAGTTTCCCCGAGTGTCCACTTGGGGCTGACTCCAAAAACCAAGTGAGTCCCATTTAAACCCATGTTAAAATGTTAAAAATGAACATATTTACTGTATGGTTTGCAAACGGTTTTGGTCTGGATGGCGTGTGATTTCATATGTTTACACTGAGACAAACACCTTGGACAGTTTGGGTTGGATGAGTTGCAAACATACACAAGAAAATCCATCCCGAGCTGAATGCAGTGTTGCCAACTTAACGACTTTGTCAGTATCGTTAGCAACTTTTTCAAATAAGCAACTAGCAATAAATCTTGCAACTTTTTCTGGAGCTTGGAGTCACCAACATGAAAGCATGTATCGATCTTACTCTCCTTAGCAAGCAGCAGGTGCTGCCGTAAACCCCTCCTTTGTTCCAAATACTCACAGAGGGAAGGGTCCACCTCGCTAGCGCAGCAGTCCCTCTGCTGCCAGAGTAGAACAGTAAGGGAATCACGCATTTGCAAACCCACCGCCGTCAAATCCTGTAAATTTAGATGTAAAATTGTATGTGTCATGATAAATCACAATTACACGCAAATGGGAAGTTATGGGAACGAGGCGATGATATCATGTAGCGGCTTCTAGGATAGCTACTTGCGACTTTCCGTACCGCGAAGTTAGCAACACTGGCTGAACAAGGTATGCTAGATTTAACATGATTTCATTTGGATTAACATGTCAGTACCTATCAGAGGGGTGTTTTGGCGTCTCTATTCTTCATGCGTGGTGCATGGAGGCGCAGTATCCATTCAATGTATGGTCAATGTTGAAGAACAAAGAGTCACAGATCCATGTGACAAGCTACTTTATTTTGATACTATCTACAAATCCAAAAAAGCGGAGGCGCTTTGGGGAACCCACAACTCTCTTGACGTTGCCAGTATATGCGAAACACCAATGACAGTGCATTGTGAGTGTGGATAGTAAAAGGGAACAGTCTGGACAGATTAAAATGGGGCACAATACTTCAGCTCCATGTAAGCAAGGCTAAAAACCTCAAATATGGCCACTTTATTTGATTTCATTACGACCACTTCAAAGCCCACAGTTTGGTGTAATGTCTGGTTAAATCATGTTGAAAACAGAGCTCTGAATTCTTTACGAGTCCCCGGCACATTCTGTGAGCTGTAATTTCTCCAGAAACCAGTTGGTTAACACCTTCCCTCTAATCTCCTTTCCGAGACTCCAAATCTCGTGGAGCCTCATGTTGCAACTCATTTGGGAGTCATTTTGGACCATTACTTGTGTGGGATGTGGTAATGCAATTAAATCTCTGCACGCTTTGTTGCTCAGGGCCGCTACAACAACATTACACTTGATGGAAACGGCTACGAAGCACATTCTCATGATTGTCATGTGGCAGTCAAATAACAGTATCTGGAGTTTCTGCTACATGAGCTTATTTCCCTAAAGATGGTCACTATTTTCACTTTACATCGATTCAATTATCAGTGATGGATAATAGGGATTGATAATGAGGTTAGACAATAAATCTGAAGGGTGATAAATGTTGTGGGCCTTCTGCTGTGTTTTAATCTACTGCATCTATACAGCCTGTTTAAACAACTTTCTCTTCAGGGTTTCTTTTTCTTCTTTTTACAGTTCGAAGTGATACTATGACTCAGAGATTCAGACACTCATGCCGGCGGAGATCCCCCCTCAGCTGCAGATATTTTCACAGGCAGCTCTTTCAGATTCCAGCCACAGTTAGATCACAATTTGTTCCAGATTGTCTGTGCCGCAGTTTGTTGGACGGGCGGCTATTTTGCAAACTTGGTTTTCTCCTCCGGCACTCTGGGAGGTTTGCCACAGAGGCCAAGCTGTTTGTGTGCACTGGTGGGTCATTTTGAAGTTGTGTCTCTTGCTCCCACACACATGGCATACCCCTTATGGTCGCTTTAACATAAATAAAGAACCAACCTGATGACGGGTGTTCTGTATACTCGGGTGTTTTTATGAGTTATGTTCTCTGTCAGTGGCGGCCTTTCATCCTGTACTCGACCAAGTTTGGTAAGTAACTGCAGTGTTTTTCTGTAGCCTACAGCTGGACATACATGAGGAACAATCTGGTCATGAAACACAGTGACATCATGTGTGCTGCAGGAGGCAACCACAATCTGGCTGAGTGGATATTGTTTATGTTATTCTGGTTGACTTGGTGTAAATAAAATCCATAACAGGAAGTCATTAACTTGGATTTCAGGGCCTTAAGATACACCAAGATCTAACATGACATAAATCAGTCCATGAACTTTATTTCTCATTCAGAGTTGAGTCTCAAAACTGATGTTAAAGGGATATTCCGGCGTAAAATTAAGTTGGGGTCGAACACACTGTGCAACAACAAGTTGTCTTTAGCCACATAGGCTAACCATATAAGCAGTAGATTGTGTCCTACCAGAGGAGGAAATCTACTTCTAGACTTCTAGAATCAGCATCTCCTTATCCATGGTGTCGTCAGGATGAATTGCTGTCTATAAACCTTTCACTTGTTCATCCCATTTGCATGGTATGTAATACGATCCACCTGACACACAGAGTGTTTTATTTTGAAAAGAAGCCGGATGTTTTACTTAGAGTCCTTGCCCAACTTCCTTTCCAGCACGGATCAATCTGTGCTGAAGTTATGAACGCTTGTGATCAATTTCAGTGATCGGAGCTGAAATTGGAAACCAATTTCAGCTCCACAGTTTTCCAATTTCAGTTCCATTCATGTGTTTTTGGATCTGGTCTATGCAGAGTTTAGAGTGGTGGTTGTGGCATTCATAATTTCATAAAAAAATTTACAATTTTTAATTTTTTTGACCACAGGACAGTTTTCTACTTGACTTTAATTCCACCCAAACAGATCTATGCATTTCTGGATCAACTTTATATAGATTAAAGAGTGGTACCCTAAAAGGCTCAGGCCCTGAGAAGTTGTCTGCATTTCTAGATCATGCACATATATGGTTTCCTTTTTACATTTGCTGATGCAGTGACCAACTGTGTTTATAAATATTATAGTATATGTGTAAATTTCTGCTGATATAATTAAAAAGGTGACAAATTAATTAATTAATATTTTGTCGTTACATGTGTTGACTGTATGACATTATTTTGAAGCAGATTAGCAAATGCACTACTGATGTTGATTCTTGTGCTTCAATCCTTTTGTGCACAATGTTGATTTTTTTACGCAGCTATTTTAAGAAAGGTCCCAACTTTTGGGGAATTGTGGTTGTATGTTTGTCCACCAGTAATCAGATTTAAATGACATTACTCGACTCAAGATGTATAACCTTGAACCGCGGGACCCACATAAGACTGCACCAGAATCAATAAGCCCCGAACACTGATTTGCGGGTTTTAGAAAATGCCGGATTTCCATCCTCATCCCTTTTAAGAACATCAGAAAGCTGTTAAAGCAAACTAATGGATTGCTGATTTTGAATTAAGCTGGAATTTCTTCTCAAAAGTTGAACAAAATTAAGCAAATGTCTTTTCTAGTTAAAAGCCTGGTGCATTTGCATCGCTCTGAATGCTGTTTTATCCAACCCAGGCTCTTAGTTTTCTAAATGTGTCGAAATGAAACAGTAGAAACTGGATCATAGTGCTACGATTCAGGGAAATGGAAGTATTGGAAACAGGTGGAAGGATTTAACCTCATGGGCAGATTTGTTTTTTCTTTGTTATTTTCAGAAAATAAGATTTTCATGGTTCAACCAACAAAATGTAAGCCTTGTAGATTTTTGATAGTGCCTGCCAAAGACATGGCTTTTTCTGCTGCCAGCAATATAAAACACATGATGCCCTGTGTGCAGGATGTTGTTTTTTTATCCTAAGGAAAGACCTCCCTCTCCGAGTGCAAATGTAAAGCTTTCTCATGTTGGTTGAAGCTGTTTTTGTTCTGTACAGAGCGACAAAATAGAAATGTGTTTATTAGCAGGTGTCCCAGATTGCTGTTACAAATTCCCCTTAACAACCTGCAAATAAATAACAATTGGAAGTGAAGGCTACACAGAGCAGCAGCTCCTCCACACTGTGCATCTGCCAATAGTCGCTGACTCCCAGCAGTCCTGCCAACTGCTGCTTGTCCCTGCTCCCTGCCAGACTCGTCTTTATAAGGCCCCTCGCCACTCAGGCCTTTGAACACAGCACCGGCTGCAGAACATGCTGTACCGACAAGGAAACCCTCCACACATTCAAAAGTCACTAAATATTTCATGCCTTTTCATCGTTTGAAATGACTCTGCTGATTTCAGGCGTGAAACGGTATTTAGGCACAATAATGAGCTGCAGGATTTCAACTTCAACTGTGATTTTCTCTTTGGGCCACAAAAACATGACGGCTTTCATCTGGTCCGGTTTCTTCTGATCGGCACCATCTTTGTCTTTGATGGCCGAGCCTGTACACCTGAGCAGTCTGCGTTTAGGAGCTCTTGGTGCTGAAGCATAGATATGGCCAGCGGGTGGATCTGAACTCTGAGGGAACATATGGGGTCAATTAGGCAGAGTTTGCTCCTGGACGGGGTTCAACTGATCCACAATGGGGACCGGCAGAATAGGTGGTCTCAGGCCATTTGGCAAGGCAATTGTGGGCAGCCAGTGAGTTAGCTACATGAAAGTATCAGGTGTTAGCCAGCAAATGATCCAGGGAAGGTGAGGCTGTGATAGCAGATTGGCTGGCTCAGGCCCCGCGTGACCGGGAGGAGAGGGAGAGGAGGGAAACCATGCATGACACACTGCTCTTTGGACACCCACTGCATCCACACGCCACTGGTTTACACTCATAAAAGACTTGTATTCCTTATGTGATACTTACAGCATTTGACATGCATCTTGGTTAATTGAATTTCCATTTTGACCTAAATATAGGACTTTTTCCTGAAAAAAGTGGGACTATCTTACCACCAGGGCTTTAGCAATTAAACTTGAAAAGTTTCAGCTCCAGTAACTTGTTGTAAAATCCACTCCCTTTGTGAGACCAGCCGTTTTCACAGATGGACAACTCCAACATAATGACTCAAAATGTAACTACAATAGACTGTATATACTGTGGACAACTTGGTTATGCCTTCAGCCAGTATAGGGATTTGAAGCCGAAAAGCTCTTGGTATTTCGGCAATTTTTCTCCATTTCCAAAAACCAACATTGCGCAGTCGTGTTGCATGCACTTCCCCCCTTGCGCAGTAGCATTGTACACATTCGGCAGGAGAGTCGCAGAGAGTCGCTGTGATGATGCTTGGCTCAAACAGCGTCTCTCCCAGGTGAGCTACACAATCTTCATATGCCCATAGGCTGCATCAGGTGTCAATCATAGAAAACATGAACCCCCTAATAACTTTTAGAAATGGAGCTGTACAGAAAAAAGAGGACTTGAGCACAAACTAATCTGACAGTAACTACATGTCAACATCGCAAGCAGGGGGGAGAAAAATTTATATTCTGTTTGATAAATTTCAAAAGTTTGTCCACAGCTCCATAAGCTTTGCTAGCAGAGGCGGGATTTATGACCTATACTGCAGCCTGTCACCAGAGGGTGCTGTTCTCAGAGTGGCTTCACACAGCGAGGAGGCAGACGGCGTCCATTCTATATACGGTCTATGGTACCTACATGTTGAAACAGTGCAGATTGCAAACTCAGTGACTGGTCTGCTTGTTTGGTGGTGGACATTTCTGGTGTCACCACTGTCTCTCATCCTCTTCCTCGGTAGTCGTATGTCTTCTCTAACGTTTCCTCACTTTTACAGACTTCTATTCAAATGCTGCACAACATTATATCCGCTTTAATGCTGATATATTACACTCCAATTCAGATGCTATGGTTTCTACACAAACATTGTATGAAGTTATAAATTGTTACACATGACGCTGATGTGGCAGTCAAATCCCTCCCTGTATCTTCATATAATGGGACATGCAGAGGTACATGGAGGAACTGGAAGACTGGACTGACGGGAGACAGAGGTAATAAGCGAGTCGGGTAAAAGGAGATAATGCATGGCTGAAAAAGTTCACAGTAAACAAAAGATTTCATAGTGGTGACTCATCGCTTCATTTCCTCTCTTTAAATTGAAGACTTGTCGAGTCCATCAGTGCAAAAACCCTGAACTTCCAGGATCTACATGAAGAAGTGGCATGAAAAGAAGCATTTCAATGCTTAGCTTTGTAATTAGAGATACTGTGGAAAAAAACGCTATGGTTTGGGCTCATATACTGTAAGTACCACTGTCAGTAATGTTATTTATGCTAATTTTTATCTATCCTGCTGGAGAAAACTGATGATCCCATCACTGTAGAATAAATCTGAACCCATACAGTAGCAATGCACATTTTTTCATATTGCGGTTGGATGTATTTTAAGTCAAAGCCATGTCAAAGCCACATAATATCATACACATGCGTGCGTATCTAAAGTTGGCTGGCTGGCGTTGCGTTTGAGGTAAACCTTACTTTGAGTGAAACATGATAATTTTTTCCATGAGACTGGAGCTGGAGCTGAGGTCTAAAGCGTTTTCTTGGACCTGGATGAACATGATGACGTGAAGTCTGAGTGAAAAACTGAAATGCACAGTCCTATTTGTTAAAGCGCCCCTAGAAGAAACTCGCAGCGAGCTTTAACACTCTCCCCAACATGCCTTTTAGGTTATGAGTCATCCGCAGTTTAGAGTTCAAACTGCACTTTCAGCGCATAAAGGGATTCAAAACCACAGTTTACAGTTCCCAGTGAAGCCATCCATCAGAAAAATGAAACCGAACTTTGAGCTTTTCAAATATTCACTTTGGTCTTGCTGGGTGAAGTCACAAGTTGTCTGCCTGTTGTGTAAATTGGGGAGTCATGGTGGAAAATGGGCGCGGATCAAAAAATAGAAACGGCTACTTGGAGGAATCAAGGAACGTCAAAACAGAAAGGAGAAAGCGGAGAGGCCCCGTGTGCTGCCTACCATGAAAAATTACACTGATGAGCCTGTGAGGGAGTCCTGATTGATCTTTTTCTCCACAGTGTGTTTTCAGTTTTCAACATGGATCGGAATCTACATGAGAAACCTTATAGGTGAAGTGCAACTCCCGGAGCGTGTTCTATGAGTCAAACAAACTATCTTTAACTTTGGGATGATAATTTGAATACACACAGCTATATTCTATAGGTAAATCCGTTTTATTAAGACCCAAATCCACAATCCTACTGACATGCACTGGATTCCATTGTTGGTGCCAAAGTATTAATCAGGTTGGGGTGACTCTGACTTAGACGTGGATTCCTTAAGACCTCCAAAAGTATGTGTCATGATACGTTCTGTTTGATTTAGTTTTTCCCTGGTCTTGTGATTGTGAGTATATTTTCTTCGTATTTTCCCTGGTGATTCAGTTTCCTATTGTTCCTGTTCTTCTGTGGTCTTGTCTTGTGAGTTTTCACTTTGTGTCTGACCACGGTTCCCTCATGTTCTCAGTGTTTTATTCTCTATTATCAGTTTTCAGTGTTTCCTGTTTTATTTTGTAGTAGCTTATTACCTGTGTTTCTTGTCTTGTTTTACTTCCTCAGTTTTCCTTCTTTTGTGATTGTCTGCATCTTAGCATCTCACCTGCCTCTCGTTGCTCGTTTCCCTGTGTATATATAGTCCTTGTCTTCCCCTGTTTCTTTGTTGGTTCTGAATGTCTGTCAGTATGTTTACGTGACACTTGAGCAAACCAAATTTTTGTCTTACTCAGATTAAGACCGGACAACTAAAGTGCATGTAAACACCTTAGCCCGACTATAGTCAGAGTTTGAGAACTCTAATTAAGACACCCAGATAATGCAATTGAAATTCGATTTTCTCTACCATGTAACTTAGTTGGAGTATGATTGGACAATGCTTGTGCGCATGCGCCATGCCCCCATAATAGGAGTAGCGTGCATCTCATCTGCAGAAAACGTAGTGCACACATCATGTACATCAAAGTCAACACTGTACGATGCTCCATCTTCTTGCTCGAAAATGCCTAGCAGCAATTGTAGCCACTTCTGACGTCTGACACGGACCTACTGTTGTTGTTGACGGTTGTATGGGGTCAGAAATAGCACAGCTGAAAAGACCAATATTGCCCCCACTGTGTGTGTGTGTGTGTGTGTGTGTGTGTGTGTGTGTGTGCGCGCCAGTGTCTCTAGTGTCTACATGTGGTTTTTCCCCCAGTGCCTTTGTTGAATTTGGGATATTTTGTTTTTGAGAAAGTTTTTGTTGTTTTAGTTTTTTTTTCATGAAATCATTTTTTGTGTTCTGGATTTTGGGTCCTTTTCTTTTTTGTTTACCTTAAAATCGTGACAGTACATTGTGGGTCATGACACCAAGATGTTTGCAGCAAATCCTAAAAACCCTGAAAGTTGTGACATGGGACCTTTTCTTCCCTCTCATTTATACACAGTTTTATGTCTGCTTGTCTGTGCACAGCTAGTGGGATCAGATGTATATTTTTTCAGCAGCAGAATGAGGGGTCACAAGAAGAAATGCACCTGCCAAAATGGATGCCGGCAGAAAGAGGACGCTAGATATGCTGGGTTATAGATAGTGCAAGAACAAATGGGCTTTCTGATGGCGAAGTTAAGTGCTGGAAAATTTCTGGGTAGAATGCACACTTCAATCAAAATGAGTATCTGAGTCAGAGTCTCTCAAAACTGAGTCTGCTCTATCTGCAGAAAACTGTAGCCTAGCTTGCGTGCCAGTTACCCCAGCAGCTTCAAATTAAAGGCAATGAGTTGACTAACATTAATGATATTAAAAATACTGAAATATCCCTTTAAAGACTGACACCAACACTTGTAACACCTTGATTAAATCTGTTGATATCCGGACTTTGGTCCTTTGGAAACCATCGCCTGGCCTGTGATCATCATGTCGTACCTCTTTTGATTATGTGTTTCCTTCGCCTAACACTTTGAGCCTCACAGCTCAGCGTAACAGCTGGCATTTTACCGCCACAAAGCTGCAAACATGGAAGAAAAAGGTGGAAATAACCATTTTCTGTGTGACAAAATTGCTTTCTCTTTATTTTGGAGGTGACATTTTCGTCCTCATGCATCATTTATATGCCCCCTAGAAAACAGGCGATGGGAAAAAGGCAAAGAGACGGAGGAGATGAAATTATAAAATACCAGCCCTGTTTGGATTAAAGTGTGTAAGTGTGTCTGTGTGTGCGCGTGTGCAGATAGGTACCACTCCTGTCTGATTTTATCTGCCTCTTGCTTTGCGTGACTTTCTCGGTGAGTGTGTGTGTGTGAGAGAGAGAGTTAGTGTGTGTTACAGTGTGTGTGCAGCCTCTGAGAATGTCACAAATGAACATGAATGGAAACAGTGGGGCATTCCAGGCAATGTTGCAGGTCTGGGGGATAATTCTGCCTTTCAACTGCTTCCCATTTATTTCATAGCTGCAGCACTGTCATCTCACCCTGGTCAAGATGAAAAGCATCGTTGTGTAAAGAAATTGAAATGAAAATCCTTGTGGACCCAGCAGGATGGGGGGTGTGGGGGTATTATCTATGACTCAATGGCACTTCCCTGGGATAAGATCTAATTCTGGGAGCAAAATTTCTTTATATGGCCACCTGCTGTCGTCAGCTTTGTCCCAGGATCACAAGTTGTTCTGGGTGACCGGTCTCGGGACACGGCGAGAGGAATGCACTCAGCTCCCCGCTGACATTTAGATCTCTTTATTTTCTCTTTCATTCAGCCAGGAGCTGGCTGGGAAGGATGAGGAGGAGGCAGGGAGGGAGGTTAGAGGGGTGGGGGGTTCCTGGATGAGGAGTCTGTGGGATTGAAGGGGTGGGTTGCAGAAAGCTGCAGCACAATGCCAAGAGTGCACACACTTCATCGTGAATGTCTTTGCTAACTGCATACAGACTTTACACGAGACAACACGTATAAAATGTTTTTACAGGTGTTGTTTTCATTCATGTACAAAACTGTTGAAAATATTGAAGCGTTAAAGTGCAAATAAGACTTTTTCCTGCCAGGATCCTGTTAAAATTTCTGCAAGAATACACCTCGAGCATGTGGAGGAGGTGATGAAGTTTATACTGTGTGACGAGTGTGAACCCAAAAAGCAACGCCTAACTAGGATGAATCAAAACATCAGAGGCTGAGTGAGAGTCATTTTTAAGACATGTACAGTGAGATGTCTGTGTGTATGTTGTTGTATGAATGACGTTAATATGTCTCTTTCTGTTTTACACCAGTTCCTCTATCTTCAGTTATTTGTTTTTGTACCCGGTGTGAATGTGTATGTTGTGTGTACTGCTGCTGTCAACAATTGTAATTTCCCCACTGAGGGATGAGTAAAGGAATAACTAATCTAATCTAATCTAATCTAATCTAATGACATAAATGCACATTTTTGAAAATGCATCTATTTTGGCTTAAGGGTTGTAGTGCTTTTTTTATAGGTTAGGGTTAGGGCACACTTAGGCTACGTTCACACTGCAGGTTATGATGCACAATTCGGATTTTTTGTTAAGTCTTTTTGTGCAGTTGTTCACATTACAACAATGAATGCGGCATCTAATGTAAATGGAATTCGTCCGTGGAGTGACCCGCATGCGCACAAAGCAGCTCTAAAGGCAGACAGCTGGGTTTGTCACCCAGAATTTTATCCAGCTCTTCATAAAATGGACAGGTTACACGACCATGTCCGCTTCTTTGGTTCATGTCCTTTGTCTCTTTATATTAAGAGCAAAGGCTTTTCATTTTCAGATGGCACTGCAGTCAGGAACACTTGATGCCTCGCTCGGCCAATTCCTTGAACACCGCCCGGTTACGGTATGAGCCCTCTATTTTGGCTTGAACTGACCGGTCTCCCCATATTTTTTATCAAGTCTAATGTTTCTTCTTTTTGCCACTGGCTGTTCTCTGTTTACTCGTCCACCATTACTTTCTGCGCCTGTTTGTGTTGTTGAACAATCGTGACGTTTGTCACATATTGATGATGCATAGGTCGGATTAATACGACCTGAGCATCCACACTGCAGTCTCATCGGATACATATCCAATTCATATTCACATAAGAAAGAGGCCTGGGTCGGATTTGAAAAAAAAAAAATCAGAATTGCACTGTTCACACTTACATGAAAAAATCAGATATGTGACACATATAAAAAAATCAGAATTGACCTGCAGTGTGAACACAGCCTTATTCATTTGGTACCTTTCTAAAGTTGTGTAACTGTAATCCTTAACAGTGAAGTCAATTCATATATTTCTGTTAACTATTACAGTTAACTGTCTCTAAGTTAAGCTAAAAAAAAAATTGTGTTTATAGAATTCATACAGAGAACTATTCTCAAAGTGTCGACAGGTTCATATTTACATGTTTAAATGTTTTTCTCTGCAGCTGTTTGTTAGGTTTAGCAGATTATGCAGAATGTGTCTCTGAGGTTCATTTACATTCATTTTGAGGTCCGAGCCTCTGATTGTAAGTGCTGTGTCATGTGATCAGGGTTGTCCAGGATGTTAAGTTTTTGGGGGTTATATGTTGTGGTTCATGACAAGATGGCTGAAGAGTGAAAATGCTGCTAAGAAAGTTATCCTTCTCCATCCTGCTGTTTCTCATCATTAGAATTATCCAACCACCTTACATCGAACCTTTACGTTACAGAACCAACGGTGACAAGTTTTTATCAAATGTTTGTTAATTGTCAAGTCTTAATAGGATGATCTGATGATACAAAGAACATCATTCTCATGTTGGCAGGGGTCATAGACTCATCACGTCGACACAAATTCACCCCTAAATATGCACAGAGTTCAAGGTAAAGAGTAAGGTCAGGAATGGAGATCTCAAACATAGGTCATGTCTGGTGGCGCTTGACCATGAGGAGGACCAGGTTGCAGTTTCTGCCTTATTAAAATATTTACTACTGTAGTCAGACTTAAGAAAATTCCCCAACTTTCTAACATGCTTTCTTCTTCTCTTTTTTATGTTCACCTGCTAAAACAGAGCTTTTATGCTATTCAACTTTTGGGATAAAGTCCTGCATGCACTCTGGAGCATGATTAGCTGTTTGCATTCACACATGCAGATGGATCCGTAAATTTTGGACCATTTTCAGGAGTTTTGTGATGGGATATGTGAACAAAGCTCAAAGAACTGATGTACTAAACATGGAGGGGCATGTAAAGATTTAAGAAGTGGAGTTTCTCTGACTTTCCTCTGTACTTTTTAACTCGGCAGCATTAGCGCCGTCTTTAACTCCTCTTTAATATAAAACAAAGAAACACCATCACACAGACCGTGCTTTGTATCGGATCAACTGGTGGCGTTGCAGCAGACCACTTACTTATCATTCAGCTCTTTGAGGCGAGGGGAGGGGGGTCTGTTGGTCTCAGTGAGCCTCTTGTGTCTCTGTAGCAGAACAATAGATCTTTGCAAAGAAGTCAGCTCAGAGCCAAGAGACAAATCTCCCCAAAAGACACCTTTTGTTCCCCCGAAAACCGAATCTGCTGCTCCTCGCCACGTAATTAATGGCCAGACGCACGTTCCTTTTTCTCCTTGTGGCTGAATGAGAACTGTACGCCGCCATTTGTCTTTCCCACGCATGTCATCACACGACAGCCTCCATATAAAGTAGAGCCTCGTAATTCACACTGTTGTTGTAAGCGGTAGATATGATCTTGTTGGGTATAAAAATGTCGATATATATATATAAACCAAAGTGCTGCTGGGTGGAAAGTGCTGCCAGCTCGCTGTACGGCTTTAAAAAGATGGAGCTTTTGTTTTCTCTATCAGAAATAATACCGTCATCCATCTGTGCAGGCTGCAGGGACACCGGGTCTGAGACAAAAACAGAGATGTGAGTGTTGTTGGCTGGTGGCGGTGCAGGTTTTGTCTGCTGTGACTGCTTTCAGGGCCTCGGTAAGAGTGAAGAGAGAACAAGTACAATGCATAACCCGCAGCGTGTGCTTAGTTTTGCATTACTTTTAGGAGGATTAAGTCCGTGTGAAGAAAAATTACACCAAGATTAGGAGTTTAAAAACCTAATTTCTGAATATTGACTTTTGCTCTGAATTTGGAAGTTTATATCAGAGCCTTAGGGGAACACAATCCCTCAAACAGCTCTGAGTTTTCTCCATTACAAAAAAAGAAAGAAAAAAATGTTTCCTGCAGTCAAAGTCAGCAGCTGGAAGTCTTGTTTTGGTCAAAATGGTCAGGGAAAGGACATGAGGTTGTTTGTGTTAACAATAAATCATCAATGAGTATTTGTCGTCCATAAAGCTACACGGGCAGGAGTCTACACATGGGCCATGGCTCACATGCACTCTGTAGGATTTAAGGGGTAAGAGGGTTCTCCGTGGTAGTCATTTATGCAGAATTTGGCACATGGTTGATGCATATGCAATCTTTTGACTCAAAGTTTTAAATATAATTTTATCAAACAGTGTCATTCTGAGGGAAAAAAAACAGTATTTAAGCTCATGTGGGGAGATTTTAGACATTTATGATGTACACTGAAATTCATACTGACGCCTTTCGAAAATGAGGGAAATGAAGAAAATGTCCTGTATTTATTTTACCACATAGAGTTAGGGTTAGGCTTAGGGTTCAGGGTTAGGGTTAGTGTTAGGGTTAAGGGTTAGGGTTTAGGGTCAGAATAAGGGTTTAGAGTTTAGGGTTGGGGCTTAGGTTAAGGGTTACGGTTTAGGGTTAGCATTAGTGTTAGGATTTAGGGTCAGAATAAGGGTTAGGGTTTAGGGTTAGTGTCAGGGTTTAGGGTTAAGGGTTAGGGTTTAGGGTTAGGGTTTAGGGTCAGAATAAGAGTTTAGGGTTAGTGTTAGGGTTAGCGTTAGTGTTAGGGTCAGAATAAGGGTTAGGGTTTAGGGTTAATGTTAGGGTCAGGGTTACATTCAAAAGTCTTCAGGATGAGCTTTTTTGTCAGAAAACTCAAAAATATATTTGTTGATCCAGTGAATACTTCCAGTTCCATTTAACGTAATTCACAAGATTCACGAGAAAGTGAAAAAAAAGAGGAAAAAAAAGACCTTTATTATAGTGTTGTCCTCTGTCTTGTCCACCATCCTTGAAATCATTACACAGTGACATTGATGATGTCTTTCACATCATTTCTGCCCTTCTGTCTAATGGGGAAAATGTCATGCTTCTATAAGATGCAGAAATGTGAGGATAAGCAGTCCACACATTTACAGGAGTTCAAATGTGAAAAAGGTTTACAAGATTCAGAATTTTTTCTTTGCTTACTGAAATGTTACCGTCTGCGCTGCAACTCATGGTTTAGAGGCAACAAATGTACAAAATCATTAACTTTAATAGAATAAACTTTTTAATGCTGCAAAAGAGGAATCCAATCCACATCATTCCTAATAAACTTTATATCCAGACTCAGTTCTTCTCTTTTCCTGTGTAAAACCAAATAACAGAGTTAGACAAGAAACAAAGAGTCATACTCAGTCTAAGCACAGCTGGACTAAAATAGGACGTTTATTTTTAAGTCATTTACCAAAAACATGAGGTAACCCTTCTTAATTCCTAAATAATGTCCCTGTAAGTTTGTAGAAAATGAGCATGTGAAGTAATACTATTAAAGTGTAATCACATTTATCACCGAGAACTCAAAGTGAACAAATGAAGATGTATGACTTATGTGAACTGAACAGTATCCATCAGGTCAGACTGAAAAACATGCCATCTGTCGCCACACAGCAGAAACATTCAACCTTATTTTGAAAGTCTTTTTCCTCTCAGTGAAACTAAATTAAAATTAAATTAAAAAATACATAAACAAAAGACATTTCTCTGGAATAAACAAGTTTTATTGACTAATATGCTCTGATTCCTGATGCTGATCTTGGGAGAGGTTTAGGTGAACATAGCAGGGCGGCACAGCAGCAACTTAGTGATGTAGAAATCAGGGAGTGTGATCCACTTCCAGGAAAGAAGTATGGTGCAAAATATCAGCCAATGAATTTATCTAACAATAAATTTTAAGTTAACTATAAATTTTGTTATAGAGTTTATCATTATAGCACTGCCAGCATAAGTCGTCTGTTCTCATTGGGTCATAACCATGCACAAAAAAATAAAAATACTGTATAGTAAATCAACTTTTTATGAGATGCTGGTTTAAATGAATTCCCCAATTTAAACCTATTCATGACCAGCAGAAACAGGTGGCATGCCTCCAGGTGAATTGATCACTTGCAGTGCCTCAGGAACATCAAAGATACTGAGCTTTACTAACTACTGCAGTCATGGCTCGCAGGGATGCAGCTGGTGGGATTCCATATGGTGAAAACAAATGGCGTTAAAAAGAGATACACATGCTCAGAGTCGGCGCTTTGCAAACTGCTGAATGCACCGCAAATCAGAAAGATGCATGGAAGAGCATTTTTACAAACCAACAATTCCTATATTAGGTACTACTGTAGTTTTGGGTTTTGCTGTAATGAGACGTTTGAGTGCTTAAAGGGGATTTTTTAAATAAAATTCTAAATGTGGTATTTTTGATTCCTTTTTTTTCTGCAGTAGCTCCCTTCCGTCCCCTCCTCTGCTCTCCACATGTTACTCTGTATTGTTGCATCCCGAGGTCTCCACTTTCACGGCACTGGAACAGAGAGGTGTTTCATTGGGAGCGAGGCAGCGGCCTGCAGCCGAGGCCCCGCGCCGGGATCACCTTACCCCGCACAGCTCGGCTTTGTTATCGGATCTCCGGGGCTGAAGGACACAGTGCATCATCTAACCCGCCTTAATGCATGCAAGATGTCCAATCAGCAGCGTGTTTGGTCATTACGGCCTCCTTCCTGCAGGTTGCTGCACCCTGGAGACCCTCATCTGATGATCTCAGGAGCAGATCTACCCTTTTCCCCCTACATGTGACACCTATCCCAGGGTTCATTTCTGCAGGGGGGAAACAGGCACAGGCATGGGTGCCCACCATACATCAAACTCATTAAATATTCCACTCGAGTGGAAACGCTGTAGACTGGATATCACACCTGATACTGAAACAGCCCCCCTATGGAAGCTGATACCTGCAGATTTTTAAAACCTCTGATGTTTCTCTGAGAAATAAACAGAGATAAAGACCAAAATTTCAAACATATCTGTCCTGCTACTGCTCGACTAAACCAGTAACACAGACCAGTTCTGACAGATATAGAGGATGAAATGTGGACACTGTTGTAAAAAAAATAGAGTACATGCACACTAAAACCCACTTAATCACATAATGGAACTAGAAGAGCTGGAGGAACTACTCTCAGCTGATAAAACATCAGAGAAGAGACACTGCTTCAGTGAGAACTTCAAAAATGAAACCAAATATGAAAAGAGCTGATTTTAGCTCAGCTTGTGAATATCCGTAAAAAGGTTTAAAAGTTATTAAATATAAAATTTGGGGTTTGGTTTATAGTACAGGTGCAACAGAGTTGATCTGTATTTGAATCATTGCCAATAAGGCAGTTTGGAAGTGATCAGTTTCCTGGTCATTTTAATTTAAAAAGTAAAAAGAAAAAAAAAACACTGAGAAATGAATAAAGATTAATCACAATTTATTAACAAGGGCTAACAAAGTTTTATTAATTAGCAAGCTGTGAAATGTCCACAGCAGGTAAGAATATTGAGGTTTATACGGTTTATGAACTAAGCTATATGAGTTCCCATCCTGTTATGATGTCAGATGAAGACAGTCCATCAAGTACTTATTAATGACACTCCTTTACCAGTCTACAGCACCAGTGGAGAAATAAAAATGTATGTATGCCTCCTCCAAAGTAGATGGCTGCACGCCTCCTTTCAGCTTGTTGTCCCGGCCTGTCTTTTGGTTGACCTTTTATGACCTTCACATACCAAAACAATTGACAAACATGTTAGCTAACAAAATTTGTGAATATTAAACAAAACAACTTTTCAGCTCTATACTCTCTGTGAGACAGCTTCTTCTTATTTTACGTCTCTTCCTCTTCTTCTGTTAAGATTCTGTTGACTACCTGGCTTCCTATTCATGCAGATCAACTTCCAGGTCAAAGCCTGACATGTGAACTATAAGACATGCACAAGATGCCAAGGCCAGTTGGAGACCGATTGAGGCATTTACACAGACAAGAAAATAGATCCTTGACCACATTATCTTAGTTTTAGGCAATGAAAAACTAGATTAAGTGCAATTTTAGTTAGACTAATGTATTTCCTTTAATGGCTTTTAACTGAGATACAGCCATTCTAATTAACATGAATTTCACAGAAGCACATTGCTGACCAAGCCACAGATAATTAGCAGATAATCTATAAAAAGTGAGATTTCTCTAATCTTGTACTAACACTGGAACTTTCTACCAAGATGTCTAATATTTTGATCACTTATACAAAGATATAATAGGAATTCAGAGTAAGTATAACAGCACTTTACTGTAAAAGTCTGAATGATATGAGTTACGTGACGACTTGGATTTGTTCAGCGTCTTTGCCTCAGTCTATTTTTACTCGTCTGAAATGTACAAAGTACTCGAGCGGATTGATTGAGAGTGAACTTTCTCTGGCAGCTGTCGATGTTGGCGCTGCCGTTGATGATGGATCACACGTGAACACAGACGGCGTGCAGTTTGACGCTCTACATGTGAGATGACATGCTTTATCTCAGCGGGGGATCGTTCTGCCTCACCCACAGCACTAACAGACTGTTTCTCTCCTCACCCTGCACGATCATTTCAAACGTGTGGGCTGGTGTTATCAGCCCGCTTCAGCAGAGGCATTTAAGCATGTCCTCCAGAGAGTGACAGCTGGGATTCATTTCTCTTAAAGGGTCATTTCAGTGTTTTTTTTAAACCTGGGCCTTATGTTTGCATGATTTTTTAAATGGCTTCCCTCACTTTAAGCATTTTGACTTTTAATCCCCACCTTTTTGTTAAAGTTTTGGTATTCAAAATGCAATTTTAGTTTTCATAAATCCCAATATTAGAGTGTTTTTTTTTCTTTATTTATAACAACTTACTCATGATATAACAACTGTATTTTCAGAAAATTATGACTTGATTGCTGTAAAACAAATCTCTTTGTCATAAATTAACTTTTCATGTTATGCTGCTTTAAATACTGTCTTTATAATCTTCATTAAGTCTCAAAAACTCACATAGTGCTTGTGGTGGCACTTCTTTTTTTTCTTCCTCTAATGAAACAATTACTGCACTTATTTTTATTCACATAGTTCTGGTTTTTATTCAATCCAGTTATGACTTTATTCTTGTAGTGTTATAATTTTTCTCATTAAGTGACATTATTTTGAATACTACTTATAGGAAAGCTATTATTTTTCATGTTACAGCTTTACTCTTATAGCCACAGCTTTATTGTCATTTCATTTGAATTAAAACGGTATTGTGCTGTTAATTTAATATTTCCACTCTAATAAACTTATGACTATATCTTTTTATTATTTTTTTAATCTTCATTCGCATTTGTAATATATATTTTTAAATCAATACCATAATGTCATGACTTTAAACCTCCATGGTTAAATTCATCAAAATGAATAACAACATTTTTCTCATAAAAATATGTTTGTTTCCTGTGAATTTTGTGTTTTAAAGCTCTAGTAAGAAACTTCAGGTTTGTGTTGATTTTGGCGCCCCTTGTGGACAAATTGGTATTTACAGTTTTTGTCCTGTTCATTTGAAATTTGCACAACACAGTCACATACTTTTTCTGATATCATGGATTGGAAAAATGTGACTCATTGTAAACCTTTTTTAACAGGGGAATTCCAGTATTTTTGAATTATTCCAAGACTTACTTCGACACGTTTTGCATTTAAAAACTTTGTCTTTAGCGTTTTGTCTCCTTATTACCCACCTTTTGATTAAAGCTCCTGTTTGAAGTTTTTTGACATTTTTTTGAATTGAACGATTTCACGACATCTTTTTTGACGTACAAAAGAAAAGAAGACCATCGGCAACAAGACCATCTTTTTCTAGATCAGATAGGACAGTGTACAAACCAGGAAACATAATGACGATCAAAGAAGTGTGGCTTTTCTGCAGCCTACTTGGGAAAGCCAGACCTGTGGGGCGATGGCACTTAAATCACTCAGCCGACTGCACTCCACCTTAGACTGACACAATGTGAATTCTGTGTCATACCAAATCCCCTTTTTCTTATCATAACACATCTATTCTTAAAAAAAAGATATTTTTGATTCATTCATTCTTGATTAAATACAAACATAGCACCACAATTATTCTGTTTGTACTAAATTTAGTTTCTCAATGACTGATATATACAAATGTTCTGCCACTGTGGCACAAAAGCTGGTTTGGCAGGAGCAGATCATTTCTTCTTCTTCCTCATTGAAACTCTCCTGTGTCCCAGTCAGAGCCTGAGTTACTTGAAACCACTCCGAACTAATGACTGAAGTGAGTGAAAGTAACAACTGTGTGAAATCATGAGGTGGTGACATCACTGAAAAGCATTAAAAAGCAATGCTGGAGGAACTGATGCGGAGTGGCACAAGCGTGCCAGCCATCTGCAGAAATCAGCTCTGATTGTAAGTCTTATTAATTAATAACATCCCAGGAAGCCGGAGGCATTAAGCAGATTATGGGGGGCGGCCGCCTCCAAAGGCATGCATGTAACCCAACACACCCCACCGGATCCTGGCACTCAGCGCCGTCTGCAGAACCAGAGAAATGTGCTTATAGCAAGTTCAAAAACAAACCCTAATTTGATGGTATTCTGTTTTCTCATATTTGGTTTGGCTCCGGCCCAGGTGATTGATGTGGCAGCAGACCTGACTCAGAGAGGCTGTGTGTTGTGTTGATGGTCTACTTCACTCCATAATCAGGTGGAGGGTGTGTGAGATTGATTGACCCAGTTTGTGAGCCTTCTTCGTGTGTGCGTGTGTGTATATGTGTGTGTGTGTTTTAAGGTCTCGCTACTGTTTCGGATTACCTGGCTGGTTGGGAAAAGCCTTTCGGGTTTGTGTTTTTCTTCTGTTAGTATAGATTCCCTTCCTGCGCTCAAAGACAGACCACTCCAGCTATAAAATTTAAATCAGTTCCAGGAAAAAAAAACAGTGACAGTAGAGAAAGTGAAAGAAATATTTATTTGATTTTGGATTGGCTCTGCAGCTCTGTATGCACACAGCAGACAACGCTTTCTTTGCAGGCTGATATTTTATTCAGAGCCGCCGACACGTCGCAGAGACATTCGTGAGAAATGATACATGTCTTTGTCACAGCAGTAGGTATGAATCTGTCGTGTGGGTGTGGTGTAAATCATGACTCCTCTTCTGAGTGAGGGGAGCTTCCCTGCTGCTATCAGAAGAGCCGGCCTCTCTCGTTATCATTATTGTTTTCTGGCAGCTACATTTAGCTCAAAGACATTTTAATTGCTGTCACTTTGAATCTAAAAATGTACAAGGTTCAAAAAAGTAACATTTATCCTCAATTGTAGGGTTAGGGTTAGGGTTTTTATTACTTTTTGTTTTGTATTAATATGAAGCCAGAATGGCAAGCAATAACTTTTAGATTTAGATTACTCAGTGACGTCCAGGGATCTTCAAACAGTGCAGTAGCATTTGCACTTTTCAGGAGTTTCTGTTTGGTTGCTTTCTCTATTTGGTATAGGTCCTGCATGCATCCCAACATGCAAACCTGAGGAAGAAAGTGGAATGATGCTGCAGCAGCATAACCGTTACACCTGTCAGGATGAGAGTGCACAGTGCAGCTCTGAGCAGCAGAGAGTTGCTCCAAATGGTTCATCTACATTATCCAAAAAACCATGACAGTAAACTGTAAAGACCTGCACAACTTTAAAATGGAAGAGTGAGCTATTGTTTAAGTGATCTAATATAAATGGTAATATTAAATTAACATCAACAGACTCATGCACTGATATATTGTTTTGACATTATCCTGGAGGTTGCAGCAGTCGAGTGGGGGGTAAGGTTATGAATCAGACCCTTAAAATGCCTCACATGCGCTGCAGATACACTAATGTGTTCATGTGTGTAACCTTGTCCAAAAGGTTGTGTTGTCCTCTTTGACTCTTTCGCTTTAATGAAAGTTTATACCTAAATTTCGCACTGGAGTTTGAAACTTTCACAGTTTGTTTTGAAAGAACACGATTTGACCTGAACCACATCCCACAGCTTGGAAATAAGCTGGAACCCCCTGCTGTGTATCAAGCTTTATAAATGCCTATGGTTTTGGGCTGAATTGTTTAACAATCACACATGAGTGTCTATACTCTGGGTGATGTAATGATGTTCTTTTTAATGCAATTGTTTTAACGCCTTGAGCTGCTGTGGTGAAATCCTATGCTCCTCTCTTATAGTGTGTAGGAGACAAAGACAAAAGTGACATCAGCATTTAGACATCACAAAACCCAGATGTAAAAACATGAAACTCCTGCCAAGAGAGAAGATTAGAATTGATTTTAAAAAATACATTATTTTGATGTACTTGTGAAATACATAAACACACATTTTACTGTTCTGCCTGTTCTGTCCAATTGTGGAAACAATCTTACTTGACAAAAACAAAACCTTTTTTGATATTCACATGATGACACATTAATTCAACCATGCTCATGAATGTTATATTTCATTTTCACTAAGTCTGGGCTGCTAATTGCCACTAAATACTGAACTGAATACCTAGAGGCTGGGTTGACTAAAGTCGTAGAAGCAGGCGGCCTGGGTCTGCTTCCTGCTCAATAATATATCAATATATTTTTTACATAAATGAGAGAGATGTTTTTATAAAAAAGTTTCTTTAATTTAATATGTCAGTGACAAATACAAGCATCTATCGGACAAACTTTGTGGGGTTGCAGGCTTTGCAGACCAGAAGCAATCTGGGTCCGTTTATTATCCGTCCTTTCAATTATTCCATTTAATCTAGTAAATGAAAAACAAAAAAACGAGTCAATATTTTGTTTATTTGTTTTTCTATATAACCAAAAAAAAAAAAAAAAGGTTAGTGTTTGTTTTTGTATTTTCAGTTCCCCCATTTCCCATGGTGCCTTTCTACTGTTCGCACATGCGCATCGTGCAACAAAGTAGCCAACAACATGGACCAAAAACTCCAGGCCAGAGTGGTAGAGAAAGGCTAACCTGCTGTCATGGAGATGGACACATCCTACGTATTACTCTAAGCCGCCAAGAGGGTCACGCTGAAGGAAGAAGATATGACTGTAGAAAAAATTACAACCAGAGCTCTGTTACAACGGAAGATTTTGGCGCTCAAATCGCTCTGTCACATCTTTCGCCATGGTAACTCTCACTGAGGATCATGGGAAGCCCAGCGTAGCCTCCATGCACGTATGCTCAAAATGAATGGAAAAATTGAATAGACGGATAATACACGGACCAATTTGGAGCTTCTGCATGACTTTTTTGCAGCTTTTGTTGATTTGCAAACAGGAGCATTTGTAAATAGTGCCCACTTGTAAAACTATAAGAACTCCCCTTTAAGAGTCTTTTTCTCTGGGCATAAAAAACAGGTGTCTGTCTGTAAGAGTGCGTCCTTTGTGATCCTCCAGTTTTCTCCTCTGAGTGAAAGTGTCGCCAAACTTCGACACCCTTGAAGACTGCTGCAAGCACAGGTTGCAGTTTGCTATCAGTACTTCTCACAGTGTGTAAACTCCTCGTCTCCCTTTCATTGGTCGTGCGGGTCCATGTTTGTTGGTGCTACATCACAGTGTGACTTGTTGCACCTGAGCTTCAAGGGGATCCTGTTACCTTTATGGGCTGATACAGCTTTAATGGCCGGCTATTGTTTGGCTGTGTGTACATGTGTATTCCTATTTAGGGGAGTCTGAGGGGGGGGCACACCCTCTAATATCTCAGAAGGGGGGTTCAAAGGACCGACAGGCTTTAATGTCAACAACGCAGCTGTGTTTACACAAAGGCCTTCAGCAGAGAGGGCCAGTGCTAGGCTCCGGGGGAGGAGGGGGAGGCAGGGAGGGACAGGATGAGGTAATAACAGACACTGACCTCTCACCTCTGATAGAAGAAGAAGAGATCTAAATGAAGTTTCTATGACTCAACCCAGGGGTCTGTCTAAACTTTTTACTCTCCTCAGAGATCGCTGTAACCGGGTGGTGTTGAGTGAAGAATGGACACCGACCCCGAACAATGACTGCACCCATGTCAGCACACTGGGAGTCCAGTAAAACCCGCTCTGGGTGTTTTTTTGTCCCTTTAAAAAAAACATAAGCAGTGGTGGGGGTCCTAAGGAGGTGAAGAAGTGAAGGACTCAGGAAAGCGTGTAAAAGCTTAAACACACTTACAGAATGAAAACACACACATCTTACAGTACAAAGTGGACTGGATCTGAAAGTAAACACACTTCAAAGAGACGAGGAGCTCTCTGAAGCTGCTGTGAAACAACCAAGAGGATTTCAGGTAGGTACTTATCGCTGTCTGTCTTTATATTCAGTTTTCTTGGGGACCTTGAGGAAGTTTATAATCCTCAAAAATATACTCGTGCTGTTTGAGACATGGTCATGTTTACCGTTGTGTTGCATCAGTTCTTCTTTTACCAACACTCTGTAAACACTTGTGAACCCAGCAGAGTTAGAAAAGTAAAATTTTGTCCAATTCTTGCCTGATATAGGATTGCAGCTGCTTCTCTATTGTATTTTTTATGTCATGAATTGAATTGAGATTGCAGACAGGCCAGTTTAGCAGCAGGGCTCTTCTACTACAGAGCCATGCTGTTATAATCCCTGAAGAATGTGGTTTAACATCTTCTTGCTGAAATATGAAGATCATCCCTGAAAGAGTAATTGTCTAGATGGAAGCATATGTTTCTCCATAACCTGTATGAAGATGTGTAAACTACCCATGCCATGACCTCTTATGATCTCAGCCTTTTCGAATGTCCTTTTTATACTGAGTCATGTTACTTTACTAACCTGTTGCAGATTAACCTCATTGGTTCTCAGATGTTTTTTTTTTAGCATTACACACAATACCTGTTTACTTTTTCCTGTAACAATGAGCTCTTACTTTCAACATTTTTTCAGTTTGACGTGATGCATTTCCACTATTTCTTTTTGAATAATAAGTTAAAAACAATCAAAATCTTTTTTCTCCATTATTTTATACATTGCCCAACCTGCTTTCAAAATGGAGTTGCATTATGTCAAAGTGTTAATTGACAGTTTTTATCTCTTTAAATATGGCTGAAATGTTACTGTTTTTTTTCCATGATAATGCTTAAATTTTTATAAATTTCTACTGTTTCTAAATTTACTGCAATAAAGTTTTTCTTTCTTTTAGATCACCTCTCTAATGTTGTGCTTTGATTTTGAGGAGACAGCTGACGTATGAAAGAGGGGAACTTGCAAAATCTCGATAAATAAAACATCTGCGTCAGCGTCAGGACCAAAAGATGACTTAATATCTTCGAAACAGGAAACAGACTTTTGATTTACTTTGTATTTGCATGTAAAACCACTAAACAGCCTGATTATAATCCATAAATTCTGCCCAAACTGTCAGCAAATATTTATTCTTTAACCGTGTTTGATAAACGACCACCAGGAAATGATAAACTTGATATTGGTGCTATGATTTCATGTTTTATTCTGCGTCTAACAGCATCTTGATCTCTTGTTTTAACCTCTGTTGTACCCAATTAAAGTCAACATCCAAACCGTAAAAGTCCCCGTCATTAAACTGAATTGAAACATCTGTTGCGTAAAGGATACTGGCTGTAGAAATGCTGGCATGGATTCATGTTGTGTAGTTGCAGTGTGTTCAACAGAATTAAATGTTGTCAACACAAATCTTCCAGGACGCGAGGCATGGGATCCACAAGTAAACAAGACGAAACAGAGAACAAACTGAAGTATCACGCACTAAAAACAAGCTGGAATTCACAGTAAGTAATGTTTTGTGTCCTCACTTTTTACAATCTGATTGTCAAGGGAAAATTGACAAGATTACCTGTTAACAAAACAAATAAAAAATGTATAACTGAACAGAAATGAAAAGAATATTTTGGAAACCACAGCTGAGCGTCGTGTTAGTGGGAGCTACCCAATCCTTTTACCTCTCTGAAATACAGAAACTTCGAAACTGCCTCAAAACACAAAACAAGATCTGAAGTTTTAACTGACATAGAAAGTGTGTCCAGACTTCGAGAAATCCTTTGAAGGATGATTGGACCCACCAAAAATGGCTTGGAAACCCTAGAGATGTGCCACCCACTCTGGTCACCATATTGTAATCTTGAATTGTGTGACTGAGCACGCAGAGAGGCCTGCCATTAAGGAGTTATTTCATTTACACAAATAGATTTTTCCTTCTTTTAAATCTCTAAATTACAAGGAAGGGTCAGGACTAGATAAGCTTTTTGCTTCATTCTGTTTCTTCTCAAACTGTTTATTTTTGACATACATATGTTGTGTTAATTTATCTTTGACATGAACAGTTGTTTGGTGTACATATGTATTGTTTTGTTTGGTGTTTTTGTTTCTAATTGTTTTTTTTGTTGTTCTCAAAGTTTGAGATAAATAAAGAAAGTAAAGAAGAAAGAAAAGAGTTGCAGTAGTTGAGGAGTGATATTACAAGAGCCTGTACTAGGAGCTGTGTTGGGTCCGGTCTGATCCTCCTGATGTTATAGAGGGCAGTTTAGCAGGACTCAGCAATTTGGAACCTTGACGAATAGATGTCACCAATCTCGACAGCCAGATCATGAGCAGACTTTGATCCAAGTTGGACACTGATCTGTGGGTTTGAAGAGAGTCTACCTCGAATGACAAGAATCTCAGTTTTGGACAGGTCTAGCTGTGTTCAATGTTCCTTTGTCCATGTAGAAATATCACTGAGGCATGATGGGACTCAGACTGAGACGGTTGTGTCATCTGGAGGGAATGACAGGAAGAGCAGGGTATCATCTACATAGCAGTGATTTGAGAATCCATTAGACTGAATTATTGCACTGAATGGGATTGTGTACATCAAGAAAAGAAACCCTCATTATCTGTCTACTTTAATAGTTTTTGTTACTTGAGTGTACATTACTATTAATAAATCGTATTATTATTTATATGTACCCAGACTCGTCAGCCCTTTTACCCGATCTAACCCTGTTTTCAAAGAGCTGATATGTTCATCCCTGGATCTGAACACAAAGCTTGTGCTGCATTTACATGGGCGTGGATAATCAGAATAAAGGCCAAATTGGAATAAAAATACATCATGTAAACATCCAGTACCCAGTTTGTTGGTTTGTTGACAGCACAGGCGTAAATACAACTCTTCTTCTATGGTTGTTTTAGCGAAAATAGACAAAGCAGCACATGTCCAAATGCTTCTAATCTGAATAAAACTTGGTGCATATGTAAGAAGGTCATGATCAGACTTTGCGCCCATATCAACAGTGGATTCAGA